CTAGATGGAGTTTATTCCTCTGTTGCAGCTGAAATGGGAGATGAGCACAGATCCGTTTCTGGCAACAAGCTGCCTCTGGTCCCTACATGTGAACCCTCTTGTTGTCTTCTCAGCAGGGATGAAGGGAAAAAGCAGGTCGTCATTCCAGGGTCTCTTTGGGCTCCATGTGTTGTCATTTGAGACCAAATTCTGCTCTCCATTGTATCAGTGTAAATTTAGGGTCATGGCACTCATAGGAATGGGGTTCTGCTGGGAGCACGTTACTAGCCTAGCTGAGAGTGAGATGTGCCAACAATGCCAGAAATCTTTGGATGATTTTAAAAATGGCCAGTGCCTTTGGGTTCCATGCTTTGTGGGACCCAAGTTTGAGAGAGTGGGGCTTGGTTATCACCAGTTCCCAGTTCCCTTTTATGAAACTAAAAAAGCAGCTGGACTTTCACAAGAGCTCAGTACCTGGTAAAGCTGGGAGAACTGGAAATCTGGCTCTGAGCTCTTGGGAAAACTCAGTCCCCAGAACATGATTTTCAGGTTTTCTGAACACCATTGCCTGCAGCTGCAGCTGCAGCTGGGAGAAACTCTACACCTCTATGAGTCAGACTAGTCACCCACAGAACAGAGGCACCCAAAACAACAGGCACTGGGAAGATAATACAAGGGTACTGGGTTCAGGTGCTCTTCTGCATATGTGAAGGAGAGTGGGAGCCCTGCTAAAAGGCACCATGATGTGGCAGAGATGCGTCCTTGAAATCTATTGGGATTTTCCTAGCCCAGCTTTGTTCAGAGCCTGTGTTTAGGCTTTCAGCTCAGCTGGGTCACCTTTGCTTCCGGTTTACTCTGGGTGTGAGAAGACTTCAGCTGAAAAGAGAGGTAACTGGATGTCCATTCATTGCACTGTGAGACTTGGCTGAGTGACTTGAACATAAGACCCCCAGGAGGCCGGTGACTTTGTTACAGAACCTCACGTCCTTAAGAACTGACAGAGTCCCTGCTCAGGGCAGCCAATAACTAGAGCAGGAGGGAGCAGCAGACTAGGACAGGAGAGCTGGCTGGAGCCATGTGTGTATTTGTGCAAATGGGGGTAGAAAGGGGGAGCTCAGGGCTGTGATAGCAGGAGGACTGCAAGTTGGGATTTTGGAGCACTGACAAATTCTGTGAGAGAAGCCCAGGGCTGGGATATCAAGGAGATGCAGGCATTGACCTAGCTGGGGGCATTTTAGACCTGGGGTAGGTAGATCTAGACCAGGAGACTACAGTTCGGGGTTGAAATCAGGTAGAGTGAAAGCTCTAATTTGAGACTGGGGTGCATTAGCAGGGCTGTGGGGGAGGTTTGTCCAGCCCTGGCTCATGCTGTTAACGCTTTAATGAGCTCAAGTACTAAATAATTGTACTTTTCAAGTAAAACTCCCTTGGAGAGAGAACTGAGCCCAGCTGCCTCCTCTGCCATGCCCCATCTCACCAGGCTCTCCCTGCTTGTCCTTTCCCAGCCAGTGTGAGCGGAACCCCTGCCCCATGGACAGCAAAGCCTGCCGCACTGCCGCCAACTCCATCTCCTTCCACTACCTGCCTCTCCAGTCCAACCGCACCGTGCCCAGGGTCCTCTTCAAGATGTCCACCACTCGCTTTGTGGGCGACAGCCTGAGATTTGCCATCACAGGTGGGAGAGGCCACAGCATCTTTGCTGTACAGCGGTCTGACCGGCAGACCGGTGAGCTCATCCTGACCAGCCCAGTGGCAGGGCCAGCTGTCCTGGAGGTGGAGCTAGAAATGAGTGAGTTTGCCCGGAGGGTCCTTCTTGGGAAGCACATCTTCAGGGTCATGACCTTCATCTCCCAGTATGAGTTCTGAGCCCCTCCTGCCCTCCTTGCCTGACTAGCTAGTGAGGGTAGGAGGAGCACTGGACATCCACCTCACAGCAGAAATGGGGGCCTCCCTGTTATCCACCCAAGCTGGCAGCTCCAGCCCAACATCGGTGGAGGCGATGCTAACTTTCTACCACATTTCTTGGTTGGACCCAACTCATTGGAGATCCTGGTTCTTTGCTTGCCAAAGACCTCACCCTAAAGCTTGCTAATTTCCTGCCCACTAGTGGTAATGTTTACATGTAATTGCCTTGTGGAACAGTTCAGGGGGGCTGATGGAAACAGCCCGGTCTGTTTTTGAGAGAGACATGGGAACAGCCAGGGTCAAAGAGAGTGAAAAAGGGCCCTACTTGGGCAACCACACTGGCCCAGAGGTGAACCCGCTGCTGACATCTGAACCTGCAGTGTCATCACATTTCAGACAGGAGCTGCCCTTACATACTAATGCTCCAGGTCTTTGCCTGCGCTTATACACACACACACACACACACACACACATCCCCCAGTGGTCAGGCACAGCATTTAGGTAAGAAGGCACCTGCCCAGCAAGAGCACGTGGAGGGTACAGGGACAGCGACAGCAGGATACACATGGAGCATGGGTTTTGCTTTTTATCCATAGAAACAAGTAATAAAATGAATGTGTCTTCAAGAAGCCCCTTCTAGTCATTTCTTCCCAACCCCTGCCCAGGAACCAGAGCTACTTCCTACCAGACTGGAAGGGAGGTAGAGAGCATCCATCTGAGGTAACCCATTTCAGCACTGGGGACTGCCCAGGAGTGCTTCCTCTCTACCTTTTGACTGATAGTCTAGGGTGCTGCTAGGCTCAGCACACTGTAATGGGCCATTTCCCTGTGCCAGGGAGTTCTCATTAACACCAGCCCAGCCCCTCCCAGGTAACTCAGTGGACCAGGCACAGCAGTTCTAAGCCAGGCTTTGCTACCAACTTGGGATGTGAACTGGGCCAGATCATTTCCCCTCCCTGCACCTTGATTTTCCAGTGGCAATCATGAGTCTGACCTGCTTTGCAAAGTGCCTTGAGATCCTTAAAGTGCTTGAGGAGATCTGGCTGAGACTATCCTAAAGAATCCTGCCTGCCAAATTCCCTCAGGCATTATGACGGATGGGAACACAATGTCCCCCAGGTGGCACCCCAGAAATGCCCTGACTTTCCTCTCCCTGACAGTCAGGCAAATATCTCTTGCCTGCAGAACCTGCAGCAGAAGGAAAGTAACAGGAGAGCAGGCTCAGAAGGCCTGACTGTGAATGTGTGTGAGTGAGACAGACAGACAGAGAAAATGGGTTTTGTGTCACATGCATGTGTGTTTGCATCTCCTCCATTGAAGCAGCTTCTGCAGTCTCAGGATCCCTTGCAAAGGGGAATCCTTTCCTGCCCTGGCATTTGCTCAGCAACAGGGAATCTGGTGTGATTGGCAAGCTTGGACCCACCAGGTGCACAATATCATCAATCACAGCTTTCCAACTTTACCGGCTACTCTGGTTGGGTCTGGCCTGGAAGGGATGGCTGAAGTGACTAAGCTATGATTCTCAACCAAGGTGCCATTGCACTCTGGAGTGCCTTCAGATCCACTGTGGAGTTGATTATTTTCTCCAGCCTAATTGCTCTGCAGGTTTAGAGGCTGAGAGACATTTACTGCGGAGCTAATTAGTCTACTCCATAGTAAACATCTCAGATCATTCTGAGAGCCAGAGGGAAGGCAGCATCTGGCTATGTCTAGCAGCCTTCCTCTTACTGCTGGCAGTTCAGCTGTAGGCCCCTTTCCCAGTGCTCCCTACTAGACTGGTTCCTTGAGGGCATTGGCTTCTTACCCCAAACAGTTCAAGGTCCCTGATTCAAATTCTGGTGCTGACCAAAAGGGCAGCCATGGGGCCTGCCCCACAGTAGGGCTGGATCACTCAAAGTGAATCACTCTGGCTTCACAAGCCCTACAACTGTGAGACAGATGATGTGCAGAGCTGGCAGTGCCCCCAGCCAGGGCAATCCCTCAGAAGAGAGCATGATCCCACAAGATGAGGAAGGGGGAGCCACCCTTGTGCTTTCTGTTGCTTCCCAGTGCCCTGCTGAGTGCTGAGGTTCTCTCACCTCGTTCTCCCACCCATCGTGGGGACTCCATCCCCCCACCACCATCACACAGCAGCCTTACTAAGGCATACAGGGGTCTCTGGTGGGGGCTGAGACAAGCAGTGCTGAGGAGCAGGGAGCTGCAGCCAGACGGGCCTGCCCTGGGAGCCCTCTACCCAGGGACTATGTCTCACTCTGGAAAGAGAGCATAGCTCCTGCTGAGCCTGTTTCTGAGCATTGACTGCCACCCTGGAAAAGCTCTGGGGCTTACACCCACTCAGACAGCTGGGAGCATAAAGGGTCTAGTAAGTGGATTTCTCAGCACAGACTCCAGACATTCCAGCTCCAAGAATGGGAGGTGACTGTGCCCTCCCCTCATTCCTCAGGAGAGCTGGGAGCTGCATGGGGTGACTGTGAGCAGATGAGTAATGGCAAAGCTCCTTGCAGAGAGCGGAAAGCCTGGGGCGTTGCACCAGTGCAGGA